GCCAAGAGCTTTCCATGTGTCTGTCTGCTACGTTGTTGTTGTTATTAAACTGAGAGTCTTTTTGCTTTAGAAAAATGTGTTGATGCCAGTGAGCATTTCTGCAATCAGGGTGAACAGTGAACCTCCTGTATTCAAAGTACGACATGCTGTGGTTTGACCACAGGACACAGATTTGTGCCTTCTAAATTACACCGCGCAAGGGTATGGGTTTCAGCATGGCAATGCAGTATGTATGGACATACAAACATTCCCAGCTGTAAACAGACAGTTGCACTACAATTAGTCTCCTAAGATTATTATGATTAATTGAAAATATTTTTTCTTTTTCCTTCCTCAGAACAAGTGTTTTTCCCAGACTTGTCAAAAGTGGCCTGTTTTTTGCCAAATTAATGTAATTGGCTCTTGATGGGGCCTAAAGTCTCTAGTCAGTACTGTCTTCTCTGCCAGTGACATTTTTCTGAGGAAAAGAAACATCACTTCCACAATATTTTAGGTTTTTAAAAATGCAACTTTTGTCTTAATAAAATGATTCGTTGGCTGTTAATAAAGCCCCAAAGGGTGTTTGTCTTTCTTTTCCTTCTCTCTTTTTCTTTCTTTCCTTTTCCCCCTCTCTTTCTAAGTTTTTGCAGAGACTGTGAGTTGGCCAGTTTGGCCACCATAGTTGCCCTTCTGACTTCCCTGGTGTCCCTGCCAGCTTTCAGCAGTGTTGTTTAGTGACAGGCAGTGCCTCAGCTGAGAGGCTTTAGTATATAGAGAACACGGGAGTGTGAGGAAGTTTGGGTGAAAGAGCAAGTTGAATCCCTTCCTGCTAGCATCAGCGGAGCTTCTTCATGAGCTCTGACTTTCTTGATGCCTGTCTTCCCTTGCAGTGGTTTCTGTTAAAGCTGTGACTTGCTGTGCTGGCATTTGGGTGGCAGCTGAATTCATCCCTAAGGATAGCCCATGCCTCCTTAGGACTCAAGTCTAATGGGTGAACTAATGTAAATTAGTGCAGTTTTGAGTCTAGGATTCTCATTTGTGTTTGAGTACAATGAAGTAGATCCTGAGGTTTTGAATGTGAACAGCAGTCACATGCAGAAAAAAAAGAAGTTGCTGTCTTCAAAACAGCTGCGTATACAGAGAGTGGCACACTAATATTCTTATAATGACTAATAATCTAACTTATTTGCAAAAGATATGTCTAGTTATAGACTAGCATTTTCTTTAAAGAGAATGATATTCATTATATGCGAAGGCAAACACGTTACCACATATTCTTAACAGAAGCTTTTAACGGGAGAAGGAGTAATCATTTGTCTACATTTATTTTCTTCTATTGCATGGCTGTCTTTTCTGTGAGGTGGTATCTTATTTTTTCAGTTACTCCTGACTCTTCTAACATGTCTTTGGCATGCCAGCATGCTTATTAAAAAGGCTTAATTATTCTCTATTCTTGATTTCGAAATACACTGCACTTGCATGTTTCTAATCCTTGAACTGATCTCTTATTCCTTTAGTACAAATACACTTAAGTAAAAGTTACTATCTCGATTGTTAGCTCCAATTCCTCTGACATAAGATACTTTCTAAAGAGAAATCTGATTTACAGACAGATTGAAAATACATGTGGTTGTAGTCTGGGAATTGATATTCGAATTGAGAAGGCCTTCACAAGCAGAAAGTCATCAGTTAAAAGAACTGGTCTGATTCATAATTGTGATACTGTCCTTGTATTAAGTCTTAGCCTCAATTGTTTTGATTTTGTACCACCAGGGTCCTCCAGGTCCTCCAGGCTTACCTGGTCCATCAGGAAAAAGAGGTCCTCGGGTAAGTGAAGCGGCTGTGTTCTTCTGTAGCTCTAGGCAAGTCACCAGTAATCAAGCTGGAGTTTGCATGGTTTTGTTTTTCTCAACTATTCACATACTTAGTGATTATGAAAGTGTATGATTCTTAACATTTGGGAGATAGGTTAAATTAAGGCAAAACCAGCAGGTTTCTTCTGCTGTGGGTTTCCAGGATAGCTGATTCCATGTATGGGTGTGCACACAGAGCATTATTGCATTTGTACCTAGCTTTTGCTGCTCATAACATGAACTTTTAATTTTTCCATGCTGCTCCCATCTGCTGCAATCTTAGGTCATGTTCATTTGTTTTTGGAATGAGAGGGAGTGAGCAATGTGTGTCACGGCCACAGAGGAGCAGGCAGCGGAGACAAATTTAACCACTGCAAGACAGAGCGGGGAAGAAGTCACTTCCAGAAATCTATGTTAGTCTCTTGTGTTGCACAGCTTGATGAAAGGAACAATAGATATGATTTGCTCAAGAAATGAGCTACAGCAGCAAATGTTGATTTTTGTGTGATTGAGTGCACCCCAACGTGAGCAGGAGCAGCAGCCTTGCCAAGGGACAGAGCCCAGGCTCTGCCACAGTGAGCAGAACCCCATGCCCCAGCTGCCAAGAGCATGGGAGAAGCCTGTGCCTCTTCAAAGACTAGCTGATGGGGCAAAAGAGGGTAAATCTGTCTTTGCGCAACTGTGCGCAAAAGAAAATGTTTACAAAGTCCCTGAGGTCATGGTTGGTTTTGTGGGCTTTAGGGTAATGGCACCTGGAGGGAACAGATGAGGATTTGTTGTGTACATGATGTCAGGCCGTGGTATTTGTGGATGTGAGTGGTTATGGCCTTCTAGGCAAATTGTAAGTGGGAGAAAGGAGAGTAGTTTATATGAAGGGTTAGCAGATGCGTGGGAGGAGTTTTGACTCATCCTTTGAGGAACGTTTAAACAAGCTGCTGCTCAATAGTGTGTTGAACGTCCTGTGCTTTGCTGGCTTTCAAAATTGGTCTGACTGGGTAGTGCACTGGTCAAAGGGGCTGAAAAGGAAACTGATGTTTTAGAGCAGTTGGAGGCAAGGGAGTAGACAAGACACGTTGAATGTATGAAATGAAAATATTCCTTCAAGTCTGTATATTCCTGATTTCTTGAATCCTTTTTTTTTTTCCCTCCAAATTATCCTTTATGTTGCATGGTGCCTCTGTCAAGGATACCTCTGGCATCAGAGACGGGAATCTCACATACCTAAGTAAATCCTCACAACTGGGAAGTTATCTTTGGTTTAGAGGCCCATATGTTTAAAGCCATGACTATTGGTGTGATCTCTCTTGCTAAGCTGTCTGGGGTTTTTTGTTTGGTTGGTTGTTTTTTTTCCTGTAGGTCTTTACAGGTATAGAGTACTTAAGAGTACAGTGCTCTACTGCGTGAGTTTTCTGGCTTAATTATTGAGTAGGACATGCTTTCCAATGTGAAGCACAGCTTATAGTAGGATGCCTTGAAAAGTATGGAAATGGTTGAGATGGATTTTTAACAGCAGTTCTGAGTTTCAAATACAAATTTATAAGTGCCAAGGAAGTCCATAAATCTATTTGATCAAAGAAGTAAACATTTCTGAAATTCCAGTGCTCTTCAGTTTGTACAAGACTGATAAATTCAAGCAAGAACAGCTAGGGAAGATAGATGGTATGATAGAGGAGTTTTTGAGCCGAAATGCATATAAAACCTTGTTGGTGCAAAGTCCATGTCCACATCTGCCAGTCTGCACTACGATTTCAGTTTTCCTTCACGTGAGCTGCCATTTGTGACTCAAGGTGCTGAAGGGAAGCAATAGAGTGCAGAGCTTCATTGCTTCCGCCACCTTCGTGGTCTCGGGTGTGTGTTCAAACCTAATCCTGACAGAGATTCACAAGTGGGACACTCTGGGCAAGGTATCAATGCCTGCTCAATGCTTAGAAATTTCCATTAAAAACTAATTCTATGGTAAGGAAGGCTACATCTGACAGGTAAGATTTTGTCTTGGTCTGAGTTTTTCAATAATGAAATTTCATCAATTTCAGAATTAACAGTGAGATGAAATTCCCTGATGCCTCCCATTTCACAAGGATAATTTTGCACTTCTGTGTTGCAGTACTATGCCCTAAGACAACAAAATCCAAGCAGCAAAACCTAGGAGCCACTTCAGCACTGCAGCTACTTTGGCACTTTCTATTTGTTTCCTTTCTCCTAAATCCCTGAGAGTGACTCTGAAATTGCCAGTGTGCAAAGTAATCTCTCGAACAGTGCATAGGATTAGCATTTCTGTGGAGTTATGTCAACATTGTTATTAGTGAGAGGGAGCTTTCAGTGTTGCTGCAAGGTATACCCAGTAAATTCAGTCTCATGTGAGGGAAAGACAAACATTGAGTTAATCTGATTTTAGACCACTGAGTATATGAGAAAGTTGAAAAGATTTCTTATTATTTTTGGTATTTGGATTAATTGTTTGTGTTGCATTTTGGTTGAAGCTGAGTGACTGACACACCAGAAGGCTGTGCTGCCATCCAGCGAGACCCAAACAGGCTGGAGAGTTGAGTGGGGAGAAATTTTATGAAATACAACAAGGGCAAGTGTAGAGTCTTCGATCTGGGAAAGAACAACCCCATGTGCCAGTATAGGTTGGGGACTGACCTGTTAGAGAGCAGCGTAGGGGAAAGGGACCTGGGGGTTCTGGTGGACAGCAGGATGGCCATGAGCCAGCAACGTGCCCTCGTGGCCAAGAAGGCCAATGGCATCCTGGGGTGTGTTAGAAGGGAGGTGGCCAGTAGGTCCAGAGAGGTTCTCCTGCCCTTCTACTCTGCCTTGGTGAGGCCACATCTGGAATATTGTGTCCAGTTCTGGGCCCCTCAGTTCAAGAGGGACAGGGAACTGCTTGAGGGAGTCCAGCGCAGCCACAGGGATGACGGAGGGATGGAACATCTCCCTTATGAGGAAAGGCTGAAGGAGCTGGGGCTCTTTAATTTGGAGAAGAGGAGGCTGAGGGATGACCTCATAAAAGTTTATAAATATGTAAAGGATGGGTGTCAGGGGGACGGAGCCAGGCTCTTCTCAGTGGCGTCCAATGTCAGGACAAGGGCCAACAGGTGCAAACTGGAGCATAGGAGGTTCCACAAAAATATTAGAAAAAACTTTTTCACTGTGAGGGTGACAGTGCACTGGCACAGGCTGCCCAGGGAGGTTGTGGAGTCTCCTCTGGAGACATTCAAAACCCATCCAGACACATTCCTGTGTGACCTGCTCTGGGTGATCCTGCTTTGGCAGGGGGGTTGAACTAGATGATCTTTTGAGGTCCCTTCTAACCCCTGACATACTCTGATTTGTTGCCAACTTGCCAGGGATAGTTTTTCACCAGTTTGGTCCTTCAGTGTTTGGAAGATGAATAGCTGCTAACAGTCATTACAAAAAATACTTTCCCTAGCGTGTAGTTTGTCAAGGAGTGAAGATTGCTGAGTGTACTCCAGAAACAGACACTTATCCTGGAAGCTGTAGCTAGTCTCCATAGCCTGTTCTCTTCCTGGACTGCTTTATGTCCAACTCATTTAGTAATAAGTCTATTTTCTACTCTGGCTGTGGGAGAATTAGATTAGTGAAGGGGATTTGTCTGTGATTTGTTTAGAGAAGGTGGAATACATTGCTCTGAGTGATCTCTTAAGTCAGTGAGAACTGACCCATGTCCTCCTCTTTGCAGTGTATAACTCAGTAACTTAGCATGTGATTTTTCTAATTTTATCCCATGCCTCCAAGTTTTGTAGCAGGATAGCAACAGGCAGTGACTGTGTGCCAGTTGCTTTGGAAGACAGTAGAAACTGAGGTGTTTTTTTTTTAAAAAAGGGAAGAACTAAACTTCACTTGTATTTTTCTAGGAAGATGTGCATGTTTTATTTCTTGAGAATTCTTTGAAAATCTGAACTAGCGCTTCTAAAAGGAACAATGACACAAGTAAAATGACTTTTTGCAAACTGCTCACTTTTGTTCAGTGGAATACTGCATAATCCCACTCCTTTTTGGTTTTGTTTTGTTTTTTTTTTTTCCTAGGGGATTCCAGGACCACATGGTAATCCAGGTTTGCCAGGATTGCCAGGTCCAAAGGTGAGTTAATTGATCCATGTTGCCCTGTAAATACATGAACTTCTTAATGACTCTTTGGAAGCTCCAGAACTGTTTCCTAGAATAAATACAATTTGCCTTCTTTGGTTTACAGATGGAGACTGTTACTATAAACTTATTTTAATTAAATGTAATCAAACAAATTGAACTTCAAATCAAAACAGCAGTTTATTCAGGGGGAAAAAAAAAACTCTGTGTGTGCAGATGACTTGGAAACTGTTACTCACGCAATCAGTCTGTACTTTCCAAAAGAGTTAATGTAAATCAGCTTGGCATCTTTGAACTGAAATTTAAGTGAGAATAAACATTTAATTGCTGTAACCTTTTGCCTTGCTTTTTTTCTTATTTTTATTTTTTTTAAAGGGGAAAGAAAAATACTGTAATTCTCTATAAATTAATCTTTTTTCTTTGTCAATATCCAAGCTTTGATAATTAAATATGCTATTTTCCAGACATTATCACTTGATTAATATGCTAGAAATATTTTATGAAGACTTATGGATGTGATCTTTAAAACCAAAGACAAATTACTGGGCTGGAAGCTCAAATAAAACCCTTCAAACTTGTGAAATCTAGGCCTTTTAAATAGATTTGACAGATTTGTGCAGTTGTAGAATGCCTTCAACTCGTATTTAGTTTGAACAATTTGATAGATATGTTAGGTAAAACCCAGCAGCAACCATGATTTGTTTTAGTATGATTCCTAGTGGCAGGGATCTGACCTGTTATGACAGGTGTTAAAAAGTGCTTGAGGACATAAAAAGAAATTTAATAAAGCTTCCAGCGTCAAACACTGCAAAACCAAGCAGCTTTATTTTTCGTATGTGCTTTTTTTATTATCTAGTTCTATAGCTAGAGTTACACTTAGAGACTCATAATTAATTTTTGCTATATTTATGCTGGCTTTATAATACAATGCATCACTAGGAGAATAATTGTAACAAACTACTCCTACCATTTTGGTTTATAACATATTTTCCCCCTCCAATGAATTATAATTCTGATTGGTTCTTTAGCTGTCTCCATGATTTTAAGAGTAGGAGGAACTGAATGTACGTACATGAATATATTATATGTATGTATTATATTGCTAGGTGCTTAGTGATCTCTTTCATTTCTGTTAGCTTATAAATTATCCTTGCAATGGATATCTTCTGAAACACTTTAAATAAAAAGCCAGGTGCTTACCAAATTTTGACTGTGATGATCCAGTTGACCCATGCTGGCAATGTAAGCTGAAATAAACCACTTTCGTTTGATCTTAGAATATTGCAGACGAGTTGCAGCAGTTCTTTGTCAGTAAATTCACGCAGAATTTTATTCTGCCTTTGAGATGGATGCTTTTCACCCTCCTGTGCTGAAGCGTCATTTATGTACTTTCTTTTGAAGCATGGAACAACATTGGCTAATACGAGCACAGTCCATAATCCAGCCCTGAGCGTGTGCTAGCACTTCCAACTGATAGCTGATGGCCTGGGCATTTAATTTCTGATAAACAGTTTATGGGTGTTTGTAAAGTAATTTAAAAGTATCCGTGAGCTTTGGCTGTATTCCTGGCTTTCTGAAAAATGAATTAGTTAAGAAAATCTAGTTTGTGGATTCTGACACTATTCTAACTACATGTAATGTTACATAGATTAAACAATGAAGCGCTTTGTTTCATCCTCACATCTTGACCTGTGGTGATGTGTTGTTAATCCACAACTGAAGGCCATACATAACAATGGCTGTTTGGTTTTTAGATTAAAAATAATGAGGAATTAATTGTGTTTGTAAGGGAAAGGAAAGGAGATAGTTAAGTTACCAGACAGCCTGTGTTTTAACTAGCCAAGAGCTAATCACGGTTTTATTACAGCTCCTTAATATTTCTGCATTGGAAAGGGAAAGCAGAAGACAGCTTGGAGTTGTTCAAGGAATTGGAACTATTTGCCTTCCAAAATGTAAATCGGCAGGAAAATACTCAGATAACTCGTATCATGTTAAGAGCTCTGTTCTCTGTGACATGACATATAAATTTAGCACAGCGGATTTATTTTGCCATAATTTCAGTCTTTATTTAGTATTCAAAAAGCTTAGTTTCCCCAGTGGCCTCACATGTACCAATGTTAACTGCAGAGAGGAATAGATGGTGTCCTGAAGTGATGGAGGCATGGGGAGAGCATTTCAGCTGGTGTGTCTGCTGAAATCCTGCTCGAATTTACCGATAAAATCTGCTTATCGAAAGTTTTTGAGACATTATGAAATTTTGCAGATGTAAATCTCATTTTGATGTACACTCACACTATTATATTTTATTGTAGTTCTTTACTGAAAATGTTGTGAGGAAAAAAAATATAATAACAAGTACACGTTTCTATGAACATTCCCTCTTGTCTTCTTTAATATTTGAAAATATGTGGCCTTAACCGTGGTGTTGCTGGGGCAATGGTGGGAGATTTAAAAGGGTCCCTTCCAACTCCTAACATTCTGTGATTTGTTTCTGTGTATATTATAAAAAACTTTCTTCCCTGATGATAATGAGCTTAATTTCTCTGTGACAGGGCCCTAAAGGAGACCCAGGATTCTCTCCAGGACGAGCAAAACGTGGAGAAAAGGTAATATTTTCTTTATTATAGAAAAATATTTTATCTATCCCATTCTTTTGTTGATGTCTTGTTTAATATTCAGACAAGTTGTAATTGCACAGTGCTTTGTATTTACTGTGACACTGGTGTATTTTGACAATTATGTGAGAATGACCAGTGAAAACACAGGTGATACAATAAACCAGAGATATAAAAAATTCAATTTCCAGCTTTAAATATAATTTATCTATTTGATTTAATTTCTAAAAATAAAATAAATTAAAAGAGAAGTAGTTTTAGAACAGTGACATTGAATTCTGTTCACACTGCTATAAAATGTACGTATTCCAGTTTTTCTTCAGTATCTTGCATTAGTCCAGAAAGTTGAGTATGACAGGCAAAATTTGGTGATGACAAGCACACGCATTATTGCATGTCGTATTTTATTTAAACACTTTTTGAAAAAGACTCTTGATGCAAACGTTTGTCCTTTTACTTCAAAGACTTCTAGTTCCTCTTAAGCCACTTTAGGCAAGTATTGATTGATCTCTCTGCCCAAAATATTTGAGTATAAATATTCAGAATGATTCTTCATAGAAATTGTGGGCCTGAAGGCTTGTGATTATTTCATTTTTAGATTGTAAATCTACTCATTATGTATGAAACTTTAAAGTCGGTGTTATAATGCTAAACATGTAATTGCATTCTAATGTGTCATCGTATGCTATATCTTTAAGAATATCTTGAAATTATGCTAAGTTTTATTAAGAGCATTTGATAGTAGTTCAGCTGTGGAACACTTGTGCTAGGTAGCAAACACTGTAGGAGTCCAGGACTACTCTCCATAATCAAGCAAGTATTGGCGAATAGTTATTGTTTAGTAGCAGCTGATGTGTACATAAAATAACATATTTTTTAATGCATTCTTTCTGTCAAACTCTAAAATTCACAAATTTATATTTTCAATGTTAAAAGACTGCTGAGCAAAATTCATAAATGTCTCTGCTGATGCACTGATAAGAGGTTTATTTTTAAATTTTAGACTCGGACTTTTAGAATTTCAATTAGATTTATTTTTTAAAAAATATTTACGCCATGTTTTATGCAGCACAATCCATAATGCTGCCCTGATTTCTGACTGGGGATTGTTGGCATAACAGTAACACAAACAAAGTAACGGTTGAATATATATATATAAATTTGAGGTGAAACAACTCACTTCTGAGGAAGGGTTACCTGATGAATTGTGTAGTGTCTTCACTACCATTTATGTTAGATAAAAGTAACTGTTGTGAGGTTGTGAATTAAGTCTGTTCCAGCCAGGATTTGGCCGCGTGCGTGACGCAGGAACATGCAGGTTGCACCAGCTGGTTGCAGTTGAGGAACTGTTGCCTTTTCGATTTTCTTCCTCAAAAAAAAATAAAAAAGTAAAAAAATCTATGTCTGATCAAACATTAGCTGCTTCTTCATACCCAATGTCCAAGAATGCAGAGAAGATATGATGTCCTGCCTGTCTATAGGCCTGTGAAACGTAGCAATTCTGGGTGTTTTTCTTGTGCAGGGTGATCCAGGCCCCATGGGCTTTCCAGGCCCCCCTGGGATCAAAGGCCAGAAGGTAAGATTCCGTCTCCATTTTCATGCAGCCCTCGGTGGCTCGGATCAGTGGCCATCAGGTGGATGTCTGGTGGTCAAGAGGTGAAGAAGGTCAAGAAGGGCTTTATCTCCGCAGTTGGTACTGTGACTATCTGCTGTGTCAGGCTCCAGAGGTAACCTTCCCCTGCAATAAATTGCGAAGATTGCAACAGAGTGTAAATCACAGAGGCTTAGGCTGGTGTTTGTCAAAAGGCATGGTGTGTCCCTGCTCGGAGTAGTACTAGGCTCGACTGTGGGATACAGCCATTTTAAAATCAATTATATTCCATTGTCAGTAATAATTTTCTCATTTCTTTTTCTATATTATGTATTTTGTACTACGGAAAAAGCCCCATGGGATCATGTGCTCAATGTTTCTGCACTGAATTATTTTTGGGTTTTTTTTCCAAATGTGTGCCACAATTGCTAAAATAAAACTTGGGTATAATAATTTCCAATTTTGGATGCTACGTAACACCGTTTCTGCACTGAATTATTTTTGGTTTTTTTTTCCAAATGTGTGCCAGAATTGCTAAAATAAAACTTGGGTAGAATAATTTCCAATTTTGGATGCTACGTAACACAATGTTTTTTTTAATATGAGAAATGTTAGCTGCCATGCACTGCATTTAAATATATCCAAATTAGGGCAGTCCTACGTATACAGGAAACCATAAGGCAGACAGGTAGTTTTGGGATGTGAACATGAAGGATATCAGTAGACAAAATAAGACAATCTTAGAGAAATGAGCACAGAAGACGGAGGGCGTGTACATAGTTTAGGTGGAAGGAGAGGTCACCTCACCTAAGCCCAGTAGGCTGCTCTGGTTACAAACTGGTGAGTTTGCAAGAAACAGCAAGAAAGGCTGGAGGGAAAGTAGAGTTAAATGCTGTCTTTGTAGAACATAGTTTGGGGTTGCAAGTATAATAGAAAAAGATGGAAAACAAATATCACAGCAAAATTTTGCAGTAGTATGTAACACTAAGGGCAGCTCTAAAGTGTCCGTCAAAAGGATGGAATGAATTGTTAGAAAGGTAAGTCCTGGTGGTTTGAGTCTTAGTTTTTGACATATAGAGACGGAATACTAATTAAATGCTTGCCAGCTATTGAAACGGAAGAAAAATGGCATTGCAACAAAATTCATATTCAGTGTTATGCTTTAAGGGGCCTTCATTCAACATTGACTTGATCTTAAAGTGTATAACAATTATTATTTTAAAAGCATAGTCATTCCTTTCTAGCATTGACCAAAACATAGTAAAAATATGACCAGAAATGAAAGCTATAACTGAATTAGCATGAGTAGAAACGTGGAAATTTTATTTTGCCAAACGTGCCGCGCAGTTCTGTGAACAGAGAAAACATAGCTGTGACAAGGATTTGCATCTTCTCTGAGAGGTCACCTACAAGCCTGGCTACTGAAAACTTTTGTCACTGCTGATCTTGGGCCACCTTGAGATTCCCTGTAGTTTTGCTCCAAAACCAAAGTTTTTTTGTTTTAAAGCCTTTTAGATGGGAAGCAGCTGTCACTTGTTCTGGATTATGAGACTGACATTTGGGGGCAAGGAAATTAAAATCTTATGGCCATCATGCTCTCTTCCTGCCACAAGAATTCACTCCTTATCGGAGGGTTAGAGACTCTGGAGGATCCTGCTCACTTGATCATTGGAAATTTTACTCTTCGTTTCCATGTTGTACACATCGGACACTAACTAAAACCATGTTTAAGATAACTTCTGCCTGACCCAAATTGTAAGAATACCAGCTTTTGAACAGCACTACACATGTAAACAGTTAAGTTTTAGGCATATTTTTTAATATCAAGCCTGCAGTTTATTGTGTCTTAAATAATTGATCTTTAGTTACTGCTTTTCAATACAGGTAAATATGCTGTTAGCTCATTGTAATCTCAGAAATTACTTTCAAAGGAATGTAAACACAAGTAGCTGTAAAGTAAACAAGCTAAAAAAAATGCAGAAAAGCCAAGTACTTCCGTTTTTGTTTTGTACCCCAGGACTACTGGGGGATTACTATCATACTGAATAAATAACGTATTTCCAATATTCTTTTTAATCCAGGAAAAAAGGAAAATAAAAAAATGCTACATATAAGTAAATGATGTCTCAAATTCTGTTTAATTTTGATATTTGGCTTGTGTTAACTATTTTTTAAATAGTGAGATAATCCATAGTGAAAAAACCCTCTGATATAATTCCAGGTATTTTTAATAGTGTAATAAAAATCTACGTTAGTTTCATGGAAATTACTTTTTGTCATATTGACTTTTGTTGTTCTTTTCCTGAAAGACCTAGAAATTCGAGGGGTTTTTTCTTTATGAAATTCATCATCCATTTTCAATTAACTGGAGCTGTAAGTCTGGAGAGCCGAAGCAGAGAGTGTGCTGCATTGGTTGCTGCCCTCCCCTGGGCATGACCGCCTGGTGTCAGGGTTGCTGTGGAGGAAACTGCATTTAACAAGTTTTCTAATCAGAATTTGCCTGGTTCTGAATTTCTTATGCAACATTATTTGGTGCTTATACAAAAGTGTGTTATGGACGTTTGAGGAGGGTGTATATATTTTTTTTTTACTTTTTTGACAAGAATGACTTTGAGGAGCTGTATTCCGTGTGCTTTTGGTTCTGGATATCTGAGATGTGGGGAGAGCTTCTTGAAAAGATGCATTATAGTCCAAAGAAAAAGAAGTTTGAAGCCCTCAATGCAATATAACAAGCACTAGTAGACTACTGTTTTGGGTTAGAACTACAAAATTATTTGTTTCGTTTTATAAAGCTGAGAATCTACAGGGCTGTTTTGGTTTGGTTTTTTTTCAGTGAGATAGTAAAAAACCCCATATGTTAATAATCAGGAGTCTGGGAACAGATTATTGTGATTGACTTTATTTTTCGTTACATGCCATGTGTCGGAGTGTGTGTCCTTGTGGTTGCATATAAAATATGATATATTTCTCGTGCCTGTAACACAAACTATAAAAAGCCAAGTTTTGCTCAGGATAGGGCTCTGCATTTGTTTAGCATAAGAACAGAAAATTGCATGTTTGTGAAGTGTTTAGAGGCCTGTTTCTTTCACACATCTTTTGAAGCTGAGAAGCAATGGCAGGAGATGAAGGTTAGCTGGAGGAGAGGGCTGTTTCCAGAGCAGTTGCACGATCTCAGGTCTGGAGCTTTCTTGACAGGACCATCTTCAAATCAGCATTCAGAGCTCTCTGTTTTCAGTCCAGAGACCTCACAGAGCAGAAGCCCGTTCCTTTCTCCACTCCCCAAAAAGGGCCTGTACAGATGGGCAAATACTTGCCCCTGGCAGCCAGAGTACCGGGGGGCAGATTGGCAGCTGAAGGACGATGTTCTTGGGGATTAACTTGCCTGGGATCATGCCAATACATTAGAATGACTGCAGTGCCTGTGTGGCTGTGGATACTTTACAAAGGGATTGGGAAAGATTTTTTTAAAAGATTGGCTACAGTTAGGGGGCTAGTTTTATTCCCTAGTAATACGTATGTAACAGTAAGTCACAGGAATCTGGATTTATAAACTCTTGATAAAATTTATGTGCTGAAGTACAATATGGTAAGACACGTTGAAGGAAAAAAACTCTTGGTTGCAACCTGACAAGGACTCCACATTTCCTTGCAGCCTGTAAAGAGTAGGGCAGATATATAAATTTGACATCATCACAGGTGCTGCTTTGAACATGATGCTACCAAATATCTCCCACCTGCTTCTCCTGGAGAGTGAGATTTTCCTTGAGGGAAGAGCTCTGTGAGAGAAACTCCTCTACTGAATTAGATGGTGAAAAGCTCCATCATCTGTATACATGTGTGTTATGGGGTTTTTTTAAGTGATATTTCCATTCCTTAGGATATTCAGGCTAAGAGATGCTAGGTGGAATCTTAGCAAACAAGATAGAATGGATTTAAGAAAAAAAAAAAAAGGCACAAAACCCATTTGCTGCAGTTTTTCCAAACTGGATGCTGCGGGGTGGCAATGCGAGTCTGGTAAGAAAGCAAAGGCTCAGGCTCGTGTGACAGCGCATGGAAGTCTGTTCGCATGGTATACTTGCCTCTTGTCCAGAAATGTGTTTTTTCCAGCACTTTTTGAAGATTAATATCTCTCTGTAGCTGATGGTTGTAGCAGTAGGTGTAACACTTCACATACTGATTTTCAGAGGTTACAGAAACTTCTTGGCTCTTCAACACAGTTGCCAGTATTTTTTCCAGATGTATTTTAATAACAAATGCATAGAAATTCTAGTAAAAGACGATGGCACCAGTAAGATAGAAAGACTTGGCTTGAACAGTCCTTGTGATTGATAGTCCCTATGATTTAACATCTACGTTCTTCTATATACAGACTTCACACAGTCTGGATCCCACAGTGCTAGGCATATGGTAACAGTCAGACACTTAAACTTGCTATGAAGATTTTTCTGAGTCTGTTGGTTGGCTATAAAGATTTTTCTGTCATGCAGACCAAAATATTTTTGTATGTTGCTGTGTTTTTGTAATGTGCTTCAAGTCTGTATTGTTGTAACTGGGAGCTTCAAACCCTTCTCTTCCACACTGAACTTTTAAATCAGAGCATTAATCTTCAGTATAGATGGGAAGGTATTTCATTTTGCAAACAGTACATGTGAACTTTTATTCTTCTTGTTTACTTTCATCTTACCTCAGAGCAAACCAAATCTTATCAATCTGGGTACACTCAAGAATACAAATCCCCTAAAAATAGTTAAGAGAATTAGCTGTCACAGCTTCATTCCTGACCAGAATTAAGTGAGTTAGAATGCCTTAAGGCCATGTTAACGCTGAATAAGAATATAGGCATACTGCTCTAAAATATGAGTTCAGAGCACTTTTCCTCTGGCAGAAGTAAGGTACTGTTGTGTAGAAACAGACGCATCAGGGTTCAGGCAGCCTTCTTCATATCAGCTTCCTGCCTTCTTCTAAAACTGTCCATGCAGGTGTTAGTGAGCTGAACTGACCCAACTTTGAAACTCATTGTGATAAACTTCTTTTTGAGTGTTTCTGTGTATAGCAGCTTTTCATTTCTCCTTGGAGAGAAATAACAAACTCCTGAGAGCTCTCATCTAGCAACACCTACTTTAGTTGATCATTTAAACATAAAAAGAGGACAAAAGTCTGAAATGGATAAAACTAATGAAATTGAGTGGACTGGGACTGTAAAAATCTATATGGTTTTCTGAGGCGCTTTTTGAAAGCTGGGTTGCTGGCACATGTTGGCATCTTTGATTCTACTTTAGCAATTCCATTACAAGTTTTGCTTTAGGCATGCATTAATATAGTGAACTGGGGTATTTCATGTTAACTGATTTGTCCAAGAGCAGCTCCTGGCTACCTGTGTTACAGATTTTATTTTATTTTATTTTATTCTATTTTTCCAACAGCTATGCAAACCTCCTTCCTTAGATACAAGATACCATATATAAATTATTTAAAGTTAAGCTACAGGAGAGGATTGAAGCCAGATTATATTATAATATTGCAAACTGGCAATGCCATATGTGTGATTAGCAAAATGAAAGGACACACCTGCTCTGCTGAGTTTTGAGAAAATGAGGCCTGTGGATTTCTTAATGAGTACCTCTCTTCTGGATCAAGATTCCCCAAGCAAGCCTATAAGAGCAAAATTGCAAATTTTGAAGCCTTGTACATCTCATTCTCTTCTGTTGTTTAAAACCATTACCATGCAATATAATTCCGTCTTTTAGTTTGTATATGATCATAATTTCATGCAGAAATACTCTTGTGGTCACATAGAAGCTTATCCAAAACTTTGGGATACCTGATCGGCTGAAATCAGCTGCAGAATTCCTTCTTATCACAGTGGGTCTCAAGTCTCTACTGACTAATGAGTATAATCATGCTGCAAGGCCAAGACACTCCCACTACTCAATATCTTTGAGGCCAGTTTTATGATAGATTTCTATCCAGAATAAGGATTGTTTTGGTCTTTCTTGTTCAAGCTGCAGCTTTTGGAGCTTGTTTACTCCCAATACCTCTTGCAAGGGATATGGAGACCAGACACTTGGCTTCTGCATCAACCGTGCAACTGCTACATCCTCCCTTTTAGGCCAGCTTGTCTCTTACCCTTTAGTACAGGGTAAAGACTTCCAAGAAGGTTCCACTTTCAGATATATTGATGCAGATGGAAGGTTCCAGCTCTCTTTTTAAAGAAAAAAAAATTAAGAGCTAAAATATGCGTGACATGGTCAATGCACAGGGAGCAAAGTTTGACAGCTTCATGATTTCAGCACCACGGGGAAAATTTCTGGGATGAAGAAGAGACTATGTTAATTTTAAAAAGAGATATTGCATGTCTTGGAAGCTCTGTCTGTCTTCAGGGTCTCCTAGAATAATCTGGGATGACCCTCTTATACCCCTCCTTTGAACTGCCTTGTTCACAAACGACATTGTGACAAGGATTTGGGAAGGGGAAATTCACTGTACCAAATCCAGTTTTGCAGTTTCAGCAATAACTGGTTACAGGATGCCATGCAATCAAGTTTGAATAATTTTTTTCTCAATGAACAGATTAGAGTAGGAAAAAGGGTCCGTTTTATGTGTTTAACTCTATTTATTACATATCTGTTTCTCTCCCTGCAGGGTCTTAAGGGTTATCTGGGACTGCAGGGGCCACGGGGTGAGCAGGTAAGCATTGAAAGCACAGCACTCTGTACTCTGCAGATGAGCAATTGAGGATAGAAGAACGCATAATCCAATATAACCGTTCAATGTAAGCAATCAATGGAAATTAATGACTGCTTAAGGAAATATTAGATAGTCTTTCAGTGATGGGGCTTTGGCATTTGGCATCGTTTCAGAAAAGCACTTTTTTTTCCTGAAAATAAATGGTCAGATGTGCAGATGTTAAATAATAAAACAACAAAAAATACTTCTGGTTTTGATTAGAAGATGGAGGGAAGTTCTATACATCGATGACTAATCCAGTGCCATACTGGCCTGATTCTGGAAGAAACAAAAATTTTAGCTTTGTAAGGAGACAGATTCTTCTTAAATATTGCATTAAACACATTTGTTCAGATACAGCTAAGACCAGTGCAGTTATTTCTTTATAAGCACCTGTCTCCTATAGTCCTTCTCAGTTACTTTTTATAAATAGCATCTATGTTTTTATTAGGTAAGTAAGGGTTGCACTGTTGTATTTCACAAAATTCCAACTACTCTTCTTGTAATGGTTTTTAAAGGATATGTAACTGCAATTTGTGGACTTACATATGATGAGTAAATTTTAGGGTGTTGCTGTGTAACGTGCTCAAAAAGCAGTATTTCCATGACCTGTGTCATATGACTAGATCTTAAAAGATAAATGGTAGATAAACTCCAAAGCAGATATTAAACCTACTTGTTGTTTCTTTCCTTTTTTTTTTTTTCTTTTTCCACCTAGGGAATTCCAGGAATGGCTGGCAATATTGGGGCAGTTGGTTACCCTGGCAGGCAGGTGCAGTAACTATACTAATGTCTTTGCAGTTTGGGGGATTTGTTTGTTTGTTTGTTCTTTTCAAAAGTACCGTATCTAACTCTTTTGGAGCTACAGTCATATAAATGTATTTATTTACATTTAACTTTGAAATAAACCTCTTTAACTGTTAGTGCCCTTTAGGTAATGTTGAGTTTCGTCGCTTTTAAACTTGGATGGGGCAGTAATGCTGTACCTTTTTATTTTCCCCATATAAAGATGTATGAGCCAAATTCAACGATTGACATTGTGGTTTTTATCTGCTTAAGGGGTGAATTTGACCAATACTTCAGTGTTTTACTTGATTAGGTTTGTAATGGCTATATGTTTTAAAATTCCATTACAATATTTTGTATAGTAATGGAAAATAGCATGTTTATCTTGAATCATGTAAAATGATTGGAGCATTTGAGTTACATACACTGTTCTGAAACTAGCTTGAAAATAATTGGAAACATGTCCAAGTATAAAAGCTTGTGAAGAATCCTGTGAAATTACGTCACTGTAAAGCCAGACCACTGGGTTTGGAAAAAAACTTCCTCCCAGAAGAAATAATTTTAATATAAAGGAAGCTTCAGTCATTGTCTAAATTTCAGCCATGAAGTAATGGGAGGCTTCTCTGAACATGGTCCCAGGTGACTGCTTGATGACACCCATTTAAATCCTAGTAATTTAAAGAGTATATTGCCAGTTTACAGTTAACAAATGCTGTTATGATTCTTTTAAATAGAGCATATTTAAAATGAAGTACAATTCATGTCTTTTTGCAATAGGGGTTAGCTGGACCAGAAGGTAACCCAGGTCCTAAAGGTCTAAGAGTAAGTAAGCATTTTGGCATGCGTGTCTGGTTTTACCCATACAGTACACAAGAAAGACGATGAGGAATTTTGTTCATCTCTGCCAGTTTTATGCTGAACCACTCTGTCTTTACAAAACCTACAAGTGAGAAAACACGGTGTTTCTTTCAAAATACCTGTAAGGATTTAATGTTTTTCCCATGATAAGCAGCATAGAGTAGTCTCCCATTGTTGCCCTTCTCCCTTGGAGTGCATGCAGGCAAGAGAAAGAAAGTGATACTGAGTGTGGGACTGAGAGAGCTGGAGTGAAGAGGAGCGGACGTTTCCTGCCTGAAGCATTACTTCCATAATGAAAACTGTCAAGAAGGGAGCCGTATCTGGCATTTGCAATCTGTAACTGCTACAGAGGTTGATGAAGGGAAGCCGTCTTGTTACATGAAAACCATAAAAATGATAAGATCATAAAAATGATCTTGGTATTTTAGAATGGTTCAACTGTAGTCGTGTATATTCCAGGAACTGAAATCTCTTAGTGCTTTGCTGACCCCAGGTTTGCTTTTGATTAATTTGTTTGGTTTGGTTTTGTTTTTTAATAGGCACATGTGCATGCCTACATATGCCTGTGTGTGTATTTTGTCAGAGTGACTGTCACCATGAAGCAGTAGGCACAGGTTTCTAGAAACTTGCATTACGCTGGTTGCATCTAGTATTTGAAGGAGTCTTTTGCTAGGTGTTTTCAGGCCCTCTGCTAATGTTGTATAGGTTCCTGAGCAGTGCACTGTGTTCTCAAGTATCTATTAAATGAATCTTATTGTGATGCTAGATTTGCTTTTGTAGATTTGGGTTTGGTTGTTTGTTTTGTTTTTAGCGTGGTTACTGAAATTCTTTGCCTGCAGCAGCTTCTTAAACATATATCTGTGGTTTTGGAGTGGTTTTTTTTTGTGTCGGTTTTCATTACAGTGATGAGAAAATCAGTTTGTCAGGATCAAGTGCCAACAGATACTGCACCTTCAGGGGTTGTATCATTTACATTTCTTCAGTTTATTTTTGCTTAGATTCTCAGTGCATTTTGTCTCGTTCTTCCTTCAGCCAACAGGACATTGTGATCCTAGTCAATTCCTGAAAAGTTACTGCTTTTCTGTTTACACAGAGATAAAAATGGCCAATGTATGAGTAATTTTAGGGAAAAGCACTTGTCAGGTCTTAAGGCTACATCCTGTATATGAATTCTGCAAGCAACAATAAAAGCAATGACACAGCCCTGTTGAGGCATCCCGCTGTGCTATGGAGGTGAATAGCAACATGAAACAGTATCTTTAAAGCTCTAAGTTTAGAACGTTCCTGCAATCAAAGTATAGTCTGTTTCTATGAATCTCAGATGTTTCAAGAAACTGTAGAAAAAAGTTTCTTTGTTGTCCTTACTCTCATTAGGGCTGGATGACAAGATGAGCACTAGATTGGATATTAGGAAAAATTTATTTACTCAAGGAGTGATGAGGCACTGGAACAGGCTGCCCAGGGTGGTGATAGAGTCGCCATCCCTGAAGGCATTAAAAAAATGTGTAGACGTGGTACTTCAGGACATGGTTTAGTGGTCATGGTAGTGTTAGGTTGATGCTTGGACTTGATGATCTCAGAGGTCTTTTCCAACCTTCATGATTAGATATTCTATGATCTTTCATAATTAAAAAAAAAAAAATGCAACCCAAAACCCCCAGGTTGTTCCAATCAAAGGATTGGAGATAGAGAAAGATGAAAGCAAGAGATGCTATTTTAGTAACTAATAATATTTTTTTTCCAATCTCAGTCTGAATCTGGTAGTGCAGAATCCATCTCTGCTACTCCCTTTGCAAGCTGTACTGTCATTTCTGCCAAGTCAGCAGCATGTTTCTGTGTCCCTACAACTGATTGTATGAGGGAATCTATTTCTGACTTCGAGAGGAAGGTGGGAGAGAAATATGTTGTGACTGAACTTTAAGAAAAACATTCTGGTTATAACAAGGTAAACTTTCTAGGACTCTTGTGTATACCAGTGACCACACAGCATTATTAAAGATGAAAACATCTTTTTTTGATGTATTTCATGAATAATGTTAACTTCAGCAGCTTTTTCCTATTTCATTGATTCTAATAAATAAGGTTTCTAATGCAATTTTGTCTTATTGGAACACTTTTTTAGTACTTTGTTATTTAATTGATTCTGTACCCTTATAATAGAAAATTGTTTTTTTCTTTTGTTTGGGGAGCAAATCTTAGTGACATTTAAGTTGATTGAGCAACACTGGTAATTTCAAACGAGCCTAAATTTAATTCCTGGATCTTGAACCCACAGCTGGTCATTACTGAGGGACAAGCAGTGTTGGTGCGAAGTGGCCTTGTAATCAAGAATTGCTCTTATGTTTTCAGGGTTTCATTGGACCTCCAGGTGTGGCAGGACAAATAGGACCTGAAGGAGAAAGGGTTGGTTTAATGGAACATTAAGGAAATATTGACGTTTAGATAGAAATACAATGTATGTATGAATGGGGGGAAATATACAAAATATTTGAGTCATGTCTAAAAGTAAAACTGAGAGGGAGGAAGTTAAATAAATTGGTCATATCTAAGTAGTTTAATCAATGAAATTTACTGGTGCTGAAGTTAAATGGGGAGCAGGCATAAATTACTATTTCAATTTAACTTAGAGCTGCAAGGATTAGGGATATCTTTCTTCCTTGCCACCAAGCTCCATAATGACTGTTTTTCATTGAAGCAATTTCGTTCAGTCAGTAATTAATATTTGTCTGTTTTCAAATGATGCTTGCAATAAAACCAGTCATGGAAATCCTAACCTCTGTCACTCTATGCTTGAGCTTTTTCTTGCTTCTCTTGAGCACGAAGGATGACTGGCCATGTACTTTGGTGGAAGCAAGATATGACCCTTCTTCATAGTTGTTCTGATATGGCCACAGTAAAGACAAGCAGTTTGTGTTTCTGCTCCCCTGTTACAGAACATTGTCTCATTCTTTACTTTTTTTTTTTTTTTTTTTAAATGACAGTTCACCTCCCGCTGTCTTTTCCGATCAGATGCAAGTTTAATTACTTGAATTTAAGCTATCAAAGAAAAGATGCTTATGATGGGTTATTTCTTTCCCAGGGCATCCCAGGTTTCCATGGAAAAAGAGGTCCTAAAGGGAGACAGGTAAAGGATTCTAACACTTGTTACAATTTTTGTTGCCAATGCAAAGGCACCCGTAATGCACTCTGTAACTTTAATCAGCTGAAAAAAATTGCTAGCTTTACCATTGCTTTAGATGACTTGCTATTGTTTCCGGTTAGTACTTTGCAGTACTGCAAATTCTATGGGGGCTATAACTACTGGGTATAGGAGTTATACTCTTGAAGTGAGTGAGCTACATGGTGAGCCTTGTGGCTGATTACAGATATCAGCTACCTGAGGGTTAAAAGATGACAGAAACACATAAATATATTCTGTAAAAATAGTGTTAGCACAAGGTACAGTTTTGTAAGTCTGTTTTTGGTGTTCATTTGAATGCCTGATATTTCTGGAGTATGGCAAATTAAAGCTGTCCTCTACTTAACACATATTTCTACAGCTGAGAATAAACACAAATCTGCCAAGTATACATTATGAAGGTTTACATATTTCCTAGGGTATATCTTCAGTGCCAAGTGTTTTGGTTTTTGCTGCAGCCTTATTATTTTAGGTCTTTGAAGCTATCCAGGATTTTCCAATTTTAACTTGCTTGCGGTTTGAGATTGGAAACTGTGATAGTATTCTCCAGTTCGTGCTCTCAGTTGCACTCAGCAGTTCGGGTGACTTTCATCTAGCTTAACAAGCTTGTTCAGCAGTAGCCGTGTGATTGCCATCATGTAGTCCTTGATGCATGTTATGAAAATTGTGGAGGATTTTGTTTAATTTTGTTTTGTTTTCTCTGTAATCCAACACCAACAAAAAAGGCACTAGCCTTCAATAGAGTTCCTTTTGATGTAAAGAAAGGCAAGCAGAGAAAATTGTCACTAAATTGAGAGACTGCTCTTTCTGAAGCTGCTATCAAATTTTTAAGGTATAAAATCAAAGTGAGAATCTGATTTTTAATTATTCAGCTAGCAAGACAGGGTGCTTCTGTGCTTGATGACTATTTTGTACTTCACTTGTAATTTGTGCTACTTTGTGTGTTGGGCAAGAAGGGATCTGTGCCATCTGTACTGTGCAGCGGTTGGCATTGAGTTGTGCTGGTGAGTCGCGTGCAGCCTTAAGCAGGAGAAGCAGGATGGAAAGCAGGACTTGTGCTCAGTGTGGAAGAGGAGGTGACAGCAGGGTAGACTGAAAACATGTTTTCCACTATAATCTCATTCTCAGTGGCAGGTTTCACTGAGGCTTCGGAGTGTCAGTGTAGTAGCTTGTTTCAGTCTGTAACGGCTGGTGCTGTGTATGCTGTGGTAAGCAGTTATTTTTTCATTTACAGTAAGAACACAACTTCTATCAGTGCCAGACTGTGCTCTGATAAGGACTTTTATTTATATAAATTAATTCAGGGAGGTTTCATGTAGGTGACAGTGCACCAAAAGCACATCTGCGCAATGTCCATGGTTACCTTCATTCGGTACTCATTTCTCTGTAACCTTGTCCTTTCCTCAATCCCAAGATTCATTCCAAATCCTTTCTATGATCTATAAAGTACTCTACTTGAGTAAAGACTACTAATGTAGGGACCAAACCAGGAGAGTAATCCCATGGGAACCTGGCTTGAAGTACTTCACTGGATCACAAGCTTTAGAGAATGAGTGTTATTTTAACCCCAGACTCTTGACAGCTGTGATGACAACGTCTTTTGACACAGTGTCCCAGAGTTAACAACTGGTGCTTTGGGGCAGGACACTGCCACTAAAGGAAACTTGTCATGGAGATTGCATAGTGCCTGAAATCAGGCTCCTTGCTTTGTGTTCTATGATGCAACTTATTTATTTGGATAAAATTTCTGTCAACAATAATATTTGCGGGGTGGGAGGAGATGGGGATGACCCTGTCTGACTGGCAGAGATCCTTCCGAAAGAAAATAGATCCAAAATATGATCTCATTTTTTTGAAAGTAATATTAAAGTATAAGAAAAGTGGATGGTACAAGGGATTGTACACTTAAAATTCAAAATGCTACTACTTAGTGAGTTTGTTGAACAGTTATTCGTATTGGTAACATCTCTGGCACACGAAATGAAACAAAAAGGTCAATTACTAAAATCTTTACTGTGAAGATTATACAGTGAGGTTTTTTTTGAATTTTAAATTAATTTTGCATAAAATATGCTTTAAAGAAAATATGTCATTGTAAAAGCATATCTATTCAATTTCTTTCATTTTATGCTTGCAATATGAAATTTGAGTGGTTCTGCAGTATTTTTAATGAATTGTTTGTCCTGTTTTATGATGCATAATACTTTAACATACATAGTTTTATCACGTTTGGAGAAATGCTTTAGCACAGTTTTCTTCTATATGGCATTAGTTTTAGGCAGTGGTGAATGTGACAGAACAGACCTTGTAAATTACACGAAGAGTTTATTAATCAAGTCCATTGTAGCTGTAAAAGCAGTTCAGGTTTTTGTTTATATTAAAATTATGAATAGTTGTGCATTGTATATTTTGCAGTAATTTTAAATTATAATATCTCTGTAATGTAATTTTAAAAAATGTTGCACAACAGTATTATTATATTACTTTTCTGACTGTACTATGTTGCATTTTCCTTTCATTTTTCTACTCACTAAGATAGTTTTATCAGTACAAGTTAGCAGTACGCTGTTGAGAGTGGGATTATGATGCCTGTGTGTAATATGTCCCTGCCGTAACAGCTGGGTTTCTGCTGTATAGAAGCCATCATCTGTGACCTGCATCTACGATCTGGTGGCTGGTAAAACTGTCCCGTTGCATCCTCCATTTCACTTCTGATGCCTCATTTGTGTGGATTTGTTTGGGTTTTGTTTGTTTAAATTGATATTCATAGAATTATAGAATGGCCTAGGCTGGAAGGGACCTTAGAGATCATTTTAATCCAGCCTCCTTGTCGCCAGGGATGCCACCTCTCAACTAGATCAGGCAACACATGGGGACCGAACGGGAATAAAACCCACAACCTTGGCCACATTCAACTGACTGAGCTAACTGGCCCCCTAAATTCATGTGTTTTATTGCAATTCTGCCTCTTCTGAAGTCTAAAATGGTAGGCATTACAACCAAAATTTTATGCTGTTAAGGGAAGAGTAGTAAATTAATCTTTGCTTACATCCTATCAACAGGTAGCTTTTAAAAAAATAGGCATTGGCAAATACCCATTTTGCATCTGTGAAATATTACAGTACGTTTTCAGAGTTGTGCAAAACATTTGGCCAGTGGTGTACAGACTGAAAATTGATGAAATCTGCTTTATTGACCATTATCCTGTGAACCTCTGTGGTTTAAATGATAAGACAGATAAAGACCTGTACTGTCAGATCTTACAGTAATGACTGTAGATTCTTAGTTATGGGTCCCATAATTAAATCCTGAATAAAAATGTTGTTGCTGTGTGAGGCATCCTTATCTTTTGCTTTCCTGGATTTGCAGAAGAATGCAGAAAAAAAAAGTCCAACCAAAAGATGGTACAGTGAGCATGTCTCAGATTAATTCACAGTATAATGCCTGATGATGGGAATTAAGAGCCTATTAAGTTGTTTTAACATATACTTTTAGCAGCATGTATGCGTATATGTATATATAAAAAGTTGCCTTAACTTGAATGGAATTTTGGTTTAAGTTATTACTAAAGCCAAATACAGCTTAAGCAGTGCTTCAACTACTTTGGTTTATTATATGAATTTTCCACCTCCTTGTCACATCCTGACTCTGCAATTCATGTAAGATTGTATGATGATGCATGTCCCCCACTACATTAATGAAAGTAAAAATATTAAATAGGAAAAGAGACACCAAGCAGACAATTCAAGTAGTACTTGTTTAATGTTACTATTAAAGCTTTCAATCAACTGATTTTGCCTTATGATTATGTTAGATATATTTATATCTTTGGTTATGATTTTAGGAGAAAAATACCTCTATTCTATTCATTTGAACTGTGCAGCTGAAACTTTCTGTTTTTCCTATTCCTTCATCTTTCTCCCTGAATCTGCTTGCCAATGACCTATTTCTAATACCCGTAGGAATTGGGTTCACACCAACCTTTGTGTCTTGGACAATAAAGAACAAGCATTGTCTCTTCTGCTTTAGGGTTTTCCAGGTGACTTTGGAAATAGAGGCCCCCCTGGTCCAGATGGGAATCCTGTAAGTATCAAATTGTGTGTTGATTAACATGGTAAAATTTCCAACACTCAGTATTAACTCCCCTCCCAAATAGAAGGGACTCTTTTGCCTCAAAAACAGTGTCCTGAAGTCCACAAGAAAATTTTGGACAGTTACTTCTTCCATGGTAATTGCTAGGATAGTTCTGTAGTACGCAGTAGTATGAAAGAAATACCTAAAAGAAAGTATAAAAGAAAGCTGCTGAGAGAACAGAGTTTCCACTGCTGCATGTGCTGCCCACCTTGAGAATCAGACGTCTTGCTGTCCTTATTGCATTACTGATGAATGTTTTGTCTTCTGAAATTCTTGCTTTGGATATGATCTTGTGTTGCTTATTTAAACCATTATTCTAAGATCACCTTAACAAAATGGGATTCTGCATGCATGCCAAACCCCTGGTTTTCATATGCTCATGCATTTGATAGTTGATTTCATCCTTTGAAATGTTACTGAACACAATTATGCTAGTATGTCATTTAGTGCATTATAATCATTATAACAGCTTTGTCCTTGGCAGTGTGTGCAGGCTGAAGTGCTTTCATGGTATGGTATTCAGACTGTGGCACAGTCTCATCACTTCACTGGCTGCTCTCAAAGAAGCTTTGCTGTCTTGCTGTATTGGTAGAGAAACTCTGGCTGCAGACTCAAAGCTCAGGTTTCCTTTGATACGAGAAACCACTGAAAGGGATTTGGGCCAGATAAGAGAACAGCAATAAGTGCTGGGCAAAAGAGCAGCGGATTTTAATCTGCTTTTGTTGTTGGATGTTCCTTTGGAAACTCCTATCATTTTCTGTCTAAGGTTGCTCTCATATGGACCAGCATCAGCAACTGGGCAGAGGTGGTCTCCTTTTTTGAGGCCTGTATTTTCCTGACATCAATCTTAAAAGCTTATTTTAGAAAAGCTTACATGAGTTTTTCTGGTGAGTTATCAACATTTGGTGTCAGCATTTTGGATCATAGCAAAACAAATTGTTTTGCGTTTCTGGTCCCTGAGGCAAAGTTTCCCTTGTGGGCATGTCAGGTGATGTTGATATGGTGCTTTTTGACTTGAAAGCCCTCTGAGGGGTTGAGTGTCACCAGCTGCTTTGCAAATTATGTAAAAAGATTAGTCCTTCCTTCCCCTCCTGGTAGTACCAAGTATCCTTCCGTTCCTGCTAAAACAGATATTGTCTTCCCACAAGATCTGCAGAACAACTTTACTAGAAACAAGTTCAGAAAACCTGGATCTGAATTTACAGACGTGTACTTTACAAAGAAGCCTGTTTTCCTGCAAGCATTTGCAAACAAGTTCCTTCTAATCTGCCAAGACAGCTGCTGATCTTACTGCCTTCTCAGACAGGCAGCAACTCCTCTCCCTTCCTTCCCCAAAATTCACCCTGCAGGGCTTATTCAGGCAAGGAGCCAGCGCTGCAGCTGCAGGGGGCTGCAATGTTAATGGGATATTTACAGAGCCTGTTGGTGAGCTGGCAGTGGAGAGGCTGCCTGGGAGGCCTGTGGTGGCAGGAACTCGAAGGGAAGACATTTCTCCCCATGTGCTGACTTGACACTAAGGACATTTGTCTCCACGCCTAATTTCTTCTGCTTAACAGAGTAATGCCATCCTCTATTTCTACAACACCCTCTCAATTCTCTCTGAGGATGTCAGGCTGCCTTGGAGGATGTGGCTAGAACACTCAGCTTTCCCTGTGGTTAGTTTGGAGCAGGCTGAAGAACATGCGTAGGCACCGGAGGAAGGAGCAGAGCATGATGATGTCCTCTGTGCCGCGCTCAGCAGCCCTGTTGGGCAGCGGTAGAATGGGCTTGGATTTGCTTGAGCAAAAAATCCCCTTCACTGTGGGTGCCGATGGGCTGCAGTGAGCTCTGTGTATGATATCCATCGAGTCGCAGGTCCCAGGTGGCGGGACAGCCCGTGCACAGCACGCTCACCTGGAGGGCAGCAATACTCCTTATATGCAGGGTGAAGAAACGTGGCAACTGTTTTCCACAGTGTTTAGAATTTTAGCCTCTGCTGAGTTAAACCGGAGTGCAGCAGAGGCAGCAGCAGAGTACTGTTGAATTTGTTGCCTCTATGGAGAAGTACAAACACTGTAGTTTGTATCAAGAAATAATTTTTTCATATAAAGTGTAGCCTTTAGTTTGCGAAGGTCCTTCTGTGAACTGAGCCCGTGTTCTATTTATCTTTCAAAGGAATCTTAATGAATTCTTATGCAGGTTTTTTTTCCCACCCCCAAGAAAATCTTTTTTCTTCTTCCCACCTCAAATACCATGGTAATGAATCTCATATTCCTTGGTAATGCAGGAATGATTTTATAATGTAAATATCTTGAGATCTAATTCCGCAGTTGGGGATTTTAATAAGCATGTTCCCTTGAACAGTGATAAGCTGCCATTCTTCAGGAACTGCATAAAAATCCCAGCTGACTTCCTTCGCAGATCACTCTTGTTTATCTTATCACTGGGAATTTTTTTAAATAGTAAAATTCATATAATCTAAAACTCATTTTCTTTGAAGGGAATTGTTGGTGGTGTTGGTCCTCCTGGATTTCCAGGGCTAAGGGTGAGTATGCTTTCATTACTTACTTTGATGTGGCTTCATTAGAACATTTGTGTTGTATGCTTCTGAAATAATAAAAGCAGATACAAGAATCCAGGGATTTAAACAGATTTTGGTTTAGTGAGCCATGTTTTTATTTAAAATCACTCTACAAAACTGCTGTCATATTGCTGTTATGGAATACTTCTATACTTAGTTTGGATTTGTATTCTTATTTCCGACCTGGTGTGCCCAAGTTTTTTATTTGAAATAATCAGGTTTTCTGGTTTATACCCCTAAAGCCAGTGTTATATTTTGAAAAAGTGTAATACTTCAAAACATCATCCGTTGCCCTCATTCATTCTTGTACATGGCTACAAAATTCTAAACAGAATTAATTCCTAAAAAAATTACTTTGTCTTTTATAAAGTATCTCTTTTTTAAAAAATGTTTTTAGAATAAGGTTGTGATGTTGATCATGGAGTTGCAAGCTGTAGTTGTATAAATACAGCTGTGTCAGAGAAGCTCTGTGACATGAATGATCCTACAGGAGATGGGAATGGCTGATACTTGCATACTGTGTAGTCTTTCTCCTTTATTTTAAGTAATTCATGTGTTTACTGACAGAAAACCTGGATTTGACTTTTGATGTTGGCTCAGTCAAGACTGGCTACCCAGCCATGTCATAGTTCATAATGTGTGGGAGAAAATAGCATATTTACACTTGAATTAAGAATGCCAGGATTGCCTCCAGTGGGCTTTTTTTAATATCTGGAGATCTGAAACATTCTTGACAGTTTAGTTGTTTACAGTGGTGGTCATCTAGCTTTTTCTTGGAAGTATGACAATTGAGTTTCATTATTATCGTTTTAATTACATGGTCGTTACAAATTATGGGGCTATAAATAATCCCTTGGTGCCTGGTTGGGATTGTTATGGCATTGCTATAGTCAAGACCCACAGGTTTGGTCAGGGAACCTCTGTGGCTTCCAGCCTTCATCATGCAGGTGTGACTCGTTGTGCTCTTGTCAATTGACACATTTGAGCCAATTGAACCACTCATGAGACTAGAGGTTATGCTCTTGAGAATTTGCTTTGATGTACAGTTTGCTTTTCTTTCTTTGAAATTTTGTCTCAGGAACTTTGATAATTGTACAAATGTATCTGTGGTTTTTAAAAAAGTCTACTATATATTGCTTCTAAAAAAATGTTACTGATTATTTTGACTAAATCTTAGTTATCAGTTTAGCCCTTCCTAGAATTCATGTGCATAAATGTTTGCATTGTCAAAACTCCATTTACTGTGTTGCTGAGCTGCAGTCACTTACCCAGAGATTGAATGTCAATATTTTTTTGTGCAATATAGAAGCTATTTTCAATCACCAGTCCAAAACTTTTACCACTTGTACATAGCTGAAACATAACCATGAGATCTATTTATTGAAAAAAAACAACCAAAAAACATTTTTATGTCATGTTTAGATTTTGACCAGCATGAAATCGGTAATTGTTTTGCCTGTGAACTCCATCTGAGTGGCCTGCCACCTCTTGTTTGTATGTGGGACCCTTGCACAGCTCCAGCTGTGAAAGAGCGTTGATCGTGAGCCTGTGCACGCTACATAATTTGTATTCAAAGTAAAGACAAGAGAGTAAAGTACAGAAGCTGACGTTTCTTTCTTCATTATGGGCAATTGCTAAGCTAGTTCCTCCTGTGTATAGTTTTTAGTTTTGGAATGTGACAATTTGGAACAGGACTTTTACAAGGAGTTCACTGAAGATATTCATATCTTTTGCTGGAATCGGAGCTTGACTCCCAGACTTGTTGGTAACTTTACATCATCTGCTGGAGCTCCATTTGACTGCAAGGAATTAGGGGTCTTTTATAGAGGAGAGAGCTCCTTTGGTCCGTACACTTTCGTGTTTGTATCTGAGACGTATGTATCTATGCTGAAAAACAACGATGTTTTTGGAGGCAGAATAATTAATTTTTGCAAATGAGCTTCTGGTCTTAATATAGTTTAGTGCTTGGGATGACAAATGTGTGAACAAAAAAAATGTATAGACTTATCTAGATAAGGTTATCAAAATAAGGTTGGAATGTCGCAAAAGATGACATCAGTATCTGGTAGTATTAAGTCTTTTGTGGATATTAACACAGTGTATAGGCATCATCAGTTAAATTTACTACTATGCACGCCTCTGTGTCTCTGCATTGCATTGTATTAGTTACTCTGGTTCCCACTTTCCCAGTCGATAAGATAATTGGAGGAGCTTTGCTTTTGTCCCCAAGCTTCTTTACAAGGGACGGCAGCAGAATTCCTGCATGACCTCAGCATCCCCAAGTACAGCTTGAGTGGTGCAGCCCTGTTCCTTGACCGCATCTGCTTTCCAAATGGGTGTGTGTACCCCGGCCTCTGTTTTCACATGGGCCCTATTCAGATAGATGCTAGTGGTCATCCAAAACTGAGTAAAGAACTAGAGACCTCAATTTTTGTTCTAAAATACTTAGTCAATTAGAACACATTATATTATTATTGAATATTGAAACAATATTGGATATGAAATTAAGTATATTATTCTGGCAGAAACCAGCAGCATTAATTCAAGTAGCCTGTTTGGCCCAGCAGTATGCAGTGTCAAGAGTCAATTATATTTTTGTATTTGGTTACAAGAAAAATGGCGAAGTGAGCAGCGTCAGCAAGCTGAGGCCAAAAATTCCTTCCTTCTGTGTTTTTTTCAATATAGAAAGCTGTTGCCAAGTTCAGAGTTTTGGCTGGCTAAGCAGTCAGTCACTCAAGATTTGCAAGGCCAGAAGACTTTAAGGAAATGTACAACTACAGTTATCAGAGCTAGCTTTTCTCCTGACGAATTTTTTTTCCTTAAATAAAAATAAAACCAAACAAGTGATATCAGAAATGTAAGTTTTCCTTTTCTGGTGTCTTATATTTTTGACAGGTAAAAGCAATTTGATTTTAATTTCACTTGTCACATAGTAGTGGTGGGAAATGTGTACTTTATGTAGCTGAAGTAGTTTTTATTTTCTGTGCATCAGCAAGTTTTAACCAAGCTGATGAACATGTGCTAACATATAGCAAGGCGGTTGTAGACAGAGGATGATTTAAAAGGCTAACAGATTTACTAATTCAACATTTTTCTTATCAGTGAGATAATTTTTCAGTTTTGTTTTTGTGTAGTTCCTTTGCTGTCGATTAGGTCAGCCAATATCACTGGAGACTGTGACAGAGGTTTCACCAACCTGAATTTTGTAAAGCTGTTCTGGAACTTCTTCCCACTGCTTTTGTAAGCTAAATTTTCCAGCTCAGCGTGCCTCTGTGATTTTTCAATCATTGCTATTGTTACCATAAGTATGCATTTCAATGTACATTATCATTAATACAGAAATGCCTTGTTGAACTAGAATAGATAGTCCAAGTAGGAGACAGCAATGTAAACAGTTTATCTTGGCATCAGCTAACATGACAGAATATATCATTTAAGCAGTCATGGAGAGCTAAAGCAGTATAGAGTGGCAATTTTCCTGGGAGCTTTACCAAGCACTGTTGAGATGCTAAGTCATCAGTCTTCTTTTTTCTTCAGTGAGCCATGAGTCTCATGATGGCTGTAGAAGAATGATTTTGCTAACATTGCTGAAAGTCTCCAGAGAATAATGAACATGTGCTGAGCTGGAAATCAGTAGGTGTCCATCTCCTCTTTTCCATGTCACTTTTAGCAAGTGGCAAAAGATATCTGTATCTATATTTGTTGCTAAATTCTTGCATAACTGCAGAGTTATGACGCTGGTGGGGTTCTATTTCTGCAGGTAGAAGAGGCAGAAACTAGGCAGACTTCTCCCTCTGTAATATAGTTTTAGCTATCATTAAAACATTTTATGTTTAGCTCACCATCTTTCATTAATATTATTGTGTTGGGGTGTTGGTCTTAAGATTCTAAATATTTTTCATTTCTGTTTCATTTTTCTTTTTCAGGCCATAAAACTGTCCAGGTCAATCCCAGAAAGGAGGCATGTAGTAAGGGGGTTGGAGGTACCTGAGAATAGATGTTAGCATACCTGTCAGAACTTAGGTTAAGTTTTTACACTTAGTATTTTGGAAGGATATAATTGGGTTTAAAATTTTTTTATTTTTTTTTAACTTGTAGAAGTCACCAAGAGATGAAAAATCCTAGTCCAAGTCACTTTTTCTGGCACTACTCAAGACAGAATAGTTCCTTTAAGCCAAGTCCAATGCTTACAGAGCAGTGGTGCTCTGTAACCCTAAGGACAGAGGGAATAGCCACTAATGTCCCGCTCAGTACAAAAGAAAGATTTCTTGTTCTGCATTGACTAATGCACTGCTGTCTTCTCTTGAATACGTGTCCTGCAGGAAAAGAGGGAAGTTTGGTTTCTTATGGTTCTGCTGATGTGGTTGTGAACCGTAAAGAGACAGCTTATAATATGAATACTTTTTTCCTCAGCAAATTAGCCTGAGAAAGATTTTTCTTTTTTTGATTTCTCTCTGTGGTGCAGAAAATTCCACATTCTGTTACCAGTCTTTAAGTTACTCCATTTCATCAAATGTTGAATGCAGTCACCTCTCTTTCTGTCTTATAGGGAGGCACTGGGCCAGCAGGACCAAGTGGACCATCGGGAATTCCGGGGCCCACGGTACGGTGCTAAATGATCCCACAGACTGCTGCCTGTGCTGATTTCCATATTAAGACAAACATGGCATTTTTGTTTTCTTCATTTTAATAGGGTCTCCCTGGAAGTGCGGGACAGCCTGGAATGAAAGGTGATAAGGTGATTTAAATATTTCCATTATCTTAGAGATATATAGGTCTTCCAGACTCTTTTCATTAAATCTTGGGGAAAAATGTACTTGACAAAGCTGTCCTTTTTTCGTTTTTATTTCTTTTCTGTTCTGACTTTTATTTTTTTAAACTTACTTCAGTTTCATTATTTCATACTTTAGAAAAACATACTTCTGGAGAGAGTACTTACTACTGGGCATAACGATATCCAGCACTGTTGTCTGTTGAGTTTCCTGGTGGGGGTGCTTCAGTGCAACATCTTGCACTGTCATTCAAAGATCTGTGTTAATATGAAATACTGAATATTGAATTAATTTTTCTCATTTTCTAATTCTTGTAACTACCCCATTTTAAGCCAACATATGTCTGTATTAAATAATGTGTTGTTTAGGGTGAACATGGCCTTGCAGGAGAGCCAGGAGACCAGGGGTACCCAGGAGACAAGGTAATTTGTAATTGCATTATAAACTGCATAGATAATTTTAGATAATTATCCAATTTCATCAGTTTTGTCAGGATTCTTGTCTTTTTAAAATGAAACAAGTCAGTTTCATAAAATGAGAATGCAGTAGTAAAAGTTACTGGATATCAGTGAATTAACATTTTTAAGAACTGCTGTGCTACTTAAAAGTTATGGATAGTAGTGAACACAGACAAGTAAAGAGCATGGGCAGAATTCTGCCTGCTGTGTCTTCAGAGATGATTCAAACAAGAAAAGAATTATGGTATGATCTGAAACCTGCTAAGACAGTGTTGTGAAAGATGATTTTCCCCTGAACCTTGAGGTTCACCTGCAGCTCACCTGACCCAGCTGTGATGGGCAGCAGCACATGGTCTGGCACTCCTTCATACTGTGAAACTGAGATAAATAAGTATCTTCTTTCCTGTTTGGCTAGTACATCCAAAGTCACCGATACAGCACATCCTGTGAGAACCCTTTTGCTAGAAATTGAATGTTCAAAGACATTTCTTATCCTGCAGAGTTATTTTGAAGCCTGTTTCAAGTGGTAAAGTGTAGCGATTTGTTGCCTCCAACATAACATAACAATACATTTTCATGTGTATTTAATAGCTTTCTCTTTTCAGGGTGCTCTTGGTTTACCAGGACCTCCAGGGGTCAGAGGAAAGCCAGGACCTCCAGTAAGTTTACACACAGATTTTTCTCTCAGTATATCACCATATTGTTCTTATATTTGATACTGCTTTGTGGTTTACGTTCACAGTGCATGTAATCTGCTAGAAGCTACCTAATTCAAAATGCACAAAGAATAAGTCCTAAGGTACTTCTGTTTCTAGTAACTGGTTAGTGAGTCAGATCCTAGCATGTGAGATTTTTTTTTACAGAGATCAGTATATGTGTCAGATATTCATATGAGAGTGCTTAGGGTATTAGGTATTCTGTGACAGTCACTTTGTGCAGGAATAGACATGTGGAAATGTTTGAAACAAATCTACTGAGAGCTTTGGGAGCTGCCAGTATGACCATTTGGGCTAACTGGATTTGGAAAGAACATGGGAAATCTCACTAATAATAGCCTGTCATTTCTCACAGGGATGGGAGTAGTCATGAATTCCAGTATTCACTGATTTTTAGCAACTTTAAAGGCACCTGTGCAGTGCTGCCACTTCTGCTGGATTTATAAAAGTTGAGGCAGAAAAGACGTTTGATAGGGTTACCTCGCTTTACCCTCAGCTGAATCCAAGGACAGACAATTATAAAATTTCCTATTTAGTGTAAAAGTCATCTTAATGTTTTTGCTGACTTTTTGAAAAATGTTTTTAAAATCTTCATAACCATCTGTTATTAAAATAGTTTATAATTAAAAAAATACATAACTCTTTGGATTTTTTTAAGGGCAAAATTGGAGATCCCGGATCCCAAGGACCATTGGGTCCTCCTGGACCTGAGGTAAGAAATCGCCCAATAGTGGTAAATTGAATTGTGTTTTGTTCTATATTACAAAAAATCAAATATAAATGGGTTTGCGTCACAGAAGATTTTCTTACTTTGAATTAGAAAATACTTTTTATTCGGTCATATCCAATGAATTCATGCTCCTCCGTAAAGTACAAAATATTCTAGCTCATAAATTTTTAATGTGATATATTAATATACAGAGTCTTTGAATACAAAGTAGTTCATTTGCCAATGTCATGAGGGTTTGCTTTCTTTCGAATCCAGATCTTATGGATGACACCTTGAATGAGGCTCATGGGATATGTCAGGCACGCTTCCATTCATGAATTCTACAGCATGTGTACAATGGGATTTTCCAAGCTTGGCTGCATATTCATCTCTTACAAAGTAACTTTATTTGCAAGGAATAAATACCAGTTAAATAGGAAGCATTGCCAAGCACTTGAATCTAGCAGGGCATTTGCATAAGAACTGTATAGTACTGTGGAAGCCTACACAGAAGCTGACATACATGTTTGCTGGAGAGATGAAAGCAAGAAATGCAGGGTTTTTTTCTTTAATCAGCCTCCTCCAATGGTTATATTTTAGTATTATTTTCAAAAATACGTATGGAAGGTATATATTAGCAGTGATGGTGGTTCTGGACATAGAAGATACAATAAAGCTGAGAGCATATCTCCTCAAACCAAGGCTTCATATTCCTACCTTTTTTAAGAGGGAGCCTAAGGCCTCTGGTCCTCAAAGAACAAATTACTGAGTTTTGTTACTTTGTTGTAACAAATCCTAAATCCTAAAGAACACACTGTTATATTGGAGATGAACCCTCATCGAGAGAAGGCTCACGGGGAAATGCACTGTAGCAACACAAGATGGTCTTTTCAGAGGAAGCCAATCTGTGTTAGTCAATGAGGAGAGAGTATTTCCATGCCCTTTAGTTAGAACGAAAAAGGCACGAAGCCTGTGCGTGCTGCCCACCGCTGACCCCCTCTGTGCCTCAGGATTTTAGATTTTGTTAGCCTCTTCACTGTTAGCAACAGAGATTCTTCCATCATCTCTTCTCATCATATAGTTTCCAGCAGGTGAGACGTGTGCCACATTAATATCCGACTGTTGGTCTTGAAGCCATGTCCTGGTGACCCTGACACCTATCCTGGTAGTCCTTCAGAGTTCCTGATTCCAACCCAGGCATGCTATTCCTTTGGGCCTCGGGAGAAATTAATTATTCACACTTTGAGTGTACAGGTATTTTTCTTTGAATAAATTGTCTGCAAAATGTCAGGTTTAAAACTGCAAAGCAGTATTTCTCTTAACATTAGTCATGCAAGACAGATCCAAACAAAGTAAAAGTTTTACCCTCTTTTGCTACATAAAAACATGGTCACTGTATGGCAAAATAGCAGAAATAGGAGGCTCTGCCTGCCCAGTGACAGAACCTGTCAAAGATACTTCAAACTATGGCTCTTCCCTCTTGTCCAGCACTAAGATAGTGGGATTTATGTGGCCTGTCTCCATGTTAAAGCTTGTTTTGGGTACATGTGAAATAAGAATCTGGGGATCCTTTAGTCTCTCCAGTGATGTATTTGAGTATGTATTTCATTTCCAGTATAAAGAATAAGCCATGGTTTCCTTAACTTTCTTCCTGTATGAACTGCTGTAAATCAGACACCACAGCAGCTGAGGTCCATAGTTAGGTCTGCATGGAACAGTCCTGGCAGGCATCATCCATCCTCCTGGGTTTTGGACTTTTTTATAGGCAGGTGAACTGCTTCCTAAATCTATCCCCTGCAGCAGTGCAGCCTAGGTACACCAGATCAGAGGTGGAATGAGCCACCCACTCATAGCCAGAGTCCATTTGAGAACCGCCATGCAGATGGGCAGGAGCAAGTAGAGGGAGGAACAGAGGTCTCATGTTCGCTCTCTGGGCGGCTGAGTTGGGTTTGGCTGCCAAGTGCGTTTTCTTTTTGGTGCAGAAGCCCTGCAGGATCAAGCCAAGTTCTCTTCTGGGTATGTGGCTGCAGAGTCGGGATCTGTCACATGCCTGAATGAGTACTGCTCGCAAAGGCTGGTTATCTTTAGTGAGCACTTTCTGGAGCATATTCTTCAGCAGTTTACACGTTTTCCTTTGTCATTCATCTGAAAGTGAACAGCCAAAATTTCACCTTTCTAGAGAGCTTTATTTTATTGGTATGATAACTGAAAAGTGCTGGTCTGAGTGGTTTAACCCACGAGTCCTTTGTTTGCTCTGTATGAGGAAATATGTAATGCTTATTGTTAATGGGAATAAAATCAGACAAGATTTTAATGGGCTTCCACAGGTATTCAGAATATTTCATAGCTAAATTTCACTGAGTCACATTTAATTATCTGCCAAGAATGAGAGTGATGGTTTCCTTCAGATGTGCTCTGAGTATATTGTAAATGGATTTCATCTGGAGCAGAGGGAGCATTAATCATTATCTTCAGTAGAACTTTTCATCTGTGCAGTATTTTGATCTGAAGTAGTTAGTGTATTCCTTCAGGGAAGTACTCATATGGGATTCAGCTGGTATGTTTCATGCTCGAGGCAGTAGCATTACAAAGGAAAAGGATACATTGAAATAATAGTAGTCAGTCAGAAAGGCACGTATTTTTAAGTGAATCACTGGCTGCTTTGAGTTGCTAATTTTTTTTTTAAAAAAGCATGTTTTTTCTTATCACATGATATTTTGAGGCTGTGCAAACAATGCTGTGAGTGCAGCGATAATATAGCCTTCTGTTTCAATTTTACATCAAATAACTTGCTTTCAAATGACTTGAAGAAAATATAGAAATAAAGAAAATTTTATAACTGAATTAATGGCATGTTGTGGCAAACATCTGAAGAACTGCTCTTATTGTAGAATTGCTTACACTTTCTGCTTGCTTTTGCACAGAGTCTTTAACTGGTCCTTTCATAAATTTATTTGAAATAAGTAGATCTTTCTGATCTGGGGTTTTTTTGGTGCTTTCCTTGTTGAGTTGTTTGGGGTTTTTTACCAACATATATTAATTTTGCAGATATATTCAGTTTACCTTGACTTTTTAGCAATGTTGAATATTGCTTGTTCATGTGACCCTCCTGTGTTTTATATTTTCTTCAGAGTGATTATGATAGCTCAATGTGTGCCTGTGCGATCCTAGTCTGTTTCCACAGACCTTGATAGGTACTTTGCATAGAATTTTGTCATCCTGGAGATTTTCCTTTTTCTTGCACAGCTGTGATGAGGCTTCACTAGAAAAGAATGGACATGCAAATAAATAGAACTTGATTTGTGTTGCTTTACCAGGGCATTATTTAACTCCTAACATTCCAAATTTGCCTAAAGTAAGGCAAACTAGTATATAATTTTTATTTTAAACACCTGCACTGCTCTAGCTGTGGGCTTTGGTGTTGATCTTAAAAGATACAACAGTCTTGCAAATAAATTTGAAATATCTCCCTTATTTTTTTGATCTGGCCTGAGTCCAGATGTGGTCTGATGACAGTTGTTAGCATGAGAGAAGCAATGTACAATGTTCCTCATGCAGGAGGGTTATTTCACTGACTAGTAATTATTAGTCTCTTTTCTGAAGTTTAAAGTTAGGAATACTTGATTTTCAAAATGCACAGAGTTATTCCTAATCACTTTGCTTTGTACTTAGTCTTTGTTTAACCCAATTGTCAGTTAGATCATTAGAGAAAGAAGATACGTTCCTCAGGCCTTAGTCATTTAACTGTTACTGCAGGATTTGTAACACCCAAATGAGCCTGAATATTTTAAAATAAATACATAATCTGGTATTTCTGTCCCTTATAAAATACCTACACTTGCTTGTTTTCACCGTAAGTCAGAAGAAAATTTTAAAATATGTATTTCTGCTTAGTATTGTTACATGCATTGGAAGGTTCCACAGAAGCAGCTGTCAATGTTGAATGGCTGCCTTGATTTTTAAATCTTGTGGAAGCAATTGATCCAGTGGCTAAGGTCTCCCTGGGCCGTGGTTCCCCAGCTGACCACCTCTTCTGTGATACACCTTGTGGTTTGACTACTGGAACTGTTCAGCGCAGACAGGGAGACGGGGTTCAACAGCAAGTCTAGCTCTAACCAAAGTGGGCCAGGCTTCCTCTAGAAATCCTACGTGATCCTGGGAGGGGGTCTGCACTGAAATTCTTGCCAAAACTATTAATTTTTCACATTGTGGAGTTAGAGAATGTTTCAAGACTTGGTCCTTAATATGTTGACTGGTGGTCGGTGCTGCTCTGTTGGTCAGGCAAGTGATTCACCAGCCACCTCCCTGGCCATCAGCAGCCAAGCAGGTCTGTGAACGACATGATTTGAAAGTTTGGTGTAGGGCCTGCTCATGCTGTATAAAGTGGACTACACTAGGTGCTACTTGTTGTAAATACATAGAATATGTAGAGGCAAGAGATGGCTTTAAAGGGTGATGCATCACATTTGGAAAACTGGTTGCTCTCCCGAGAAAACCAAACACTAGTGTTTCGGAGAGCACGGCTGAACAGTTCTGCCGTGTGCAATTAGACAAAAACACAAAGCAACACCAGCATTATTTTACTGACATCTTAGCAACAGTAAATTGGAAAGCTTTCCTTTATTGTGTGCTGTGATCTATTATTGCCCCTTTTTTCTGTTCTTTGACAAATTGCAATGGTGCAGTTGTGATTCAGACTGTTAGATTCCTTCCTCCATCCTTTCCAAAATCAGAATTGAAGGTTTGTAGAAAAATTTAAAGTGTTGTTTCCAGTCTTTAAAAATGCAGGCATTGAACTTTGGCTAGATTGGCACACACAAGTGAGAGCTCATTTCAAATTTATTTTTTTCTTACTCTTTTCTTCTTTGCACTTGGTGCGTTATCGACACTGTCATGCAGTTGTACAAATGGCAAAATGCTCAGAAAGAAAAGACTAAATCTAGCTTTACAGCAAAGACAAAAATGATGAAGATTTTAAACTTTTAAATGCATTGCTAGTGTTGATACTCTCAGGCCAGTATACCTCTTGCATCCTGAGACTGCCTGACATGGAAAGATTTCCAAATGTTATTGTTCTGACTGAGACAGTACTTTTCAATGCTTTCTTCTTGTGGTTCTTACTAAATTCCTTCTGGAAGTATTTACTTAAATAGATAAATAAAGTAGATGTATTCCCTTACACAAGTACCAGGATTTTTTTCTAAATAGACATTTTCTCTGACAGATTGTTTTCTGGAATTTTTATCGCCATGAGGGGAAGTTGTCTCTGTATCAGCATTTAGCACTTGCCCACACAATAGAAAGTTAAAGATTTACAGATGTACAAAACAACCCACCCCATGGTAACTGTTTAATGTCTGTAAATAAGCCAATTTGAACACGAGCCAGTAGTGTGCCCAGGTGGCCCGGAAGGTTGGGTCTCAGGAAGCCCTTCCTCACAGAGAGGGTGCTCAGGCACTGAGGTGCACTGCCCA